CTTCACATTAATAGTGGCGGTCAAAGCCTCGTCGTCTCCACCATAAGAGCTATACTCCTATCAGGTGAACGCAAGATATTTGAATGCGTGGTAAATTTTATTTTATTATATTATTTTTTTGCAAATGAGAATATCAAAGATAATAATTGCATTGAGCCTTCGAATCAAGTGGTAAAAGTCACCTACAGTGCATTCCTCCCTTCTCAGACTACGCTTCGAACCCAACTCTTGTAAAGTCTGTTTAAAAAAAAAAAATAATAATTAAATTTTATAAAAATTGATCTGATACACAAAATAACCATACGATAATAGAAGAAACAAAATGCACAAAAGTAAAAAACAGAGTCAAGAACAACAACAAAATTTCAACATTGATGCTTCGTGATTGACAAATACATCAGCCATTTCATTTACTTCTCAATCAGTATGACGAAGAACAGCATCATCAAACTGTCAGATCAATAATCTGCAAAGAGAAACTAGTGAACAATAAGTTCTGATAGCAGTACTTTTATCAGACAAAGTGTCAGTAGCAAGTAAAAAGTCAGATTCAATCTCTATCCGTTTGAACCCCAGTCGAAGGGCCATCTCAAGTCCAGTGTTTTTTTTATTTTTTTCAACGTTCAAGGGTACTCAAATCCTATATTTTTATATTTAATATAAGAAATTTTTTATACAACGGAAAGAATTATTAAAAGCATATTTGGTAAAATTTATAAGAGTTTTAATTTTTTGATATTATTTATATTTTATAAATTTAAATTTTTTAAAAATGTTATATTTTATAATTTATGTTTAATCTTAAAAAGATTTTAAATAATAAATTTTAAAAAATTTTAAATTTATATTTTTTATAAATTTTTTATTCACTTTTTATCTATTTTTTTATTTTTAAAAAAACTTAAAAATTTAAATTTATCATTTATAAATAATAAAAAAAATAAAAATTTTCACCAGTTTAATCGAATTTTAAATCAGAAGGACATGCAGATGCGCTATTGGATCCGTGCCGACGGTTTTACGTGGTGAACTTTCATTAAATGTCCGTCC